GAGCCTGGAGCTTCCCAGGGCTTCCCCGGTGCTGCCTGCTCTGCAGCATCAGTGGGGGGAAATGGGTTCAATATCAGTTTTCTGTATATTTGTATATAGTTCATTATTTTTATTACTTCCTTATTAGTACTATTATTGTTTTATTAAAGCTGTTTTAGTTTTCTTCTCCAGTCTCAAAGTCTCTCTGCCTCATTCCCTCTCCCTTCCTGTTTTGGGAGGCAGAGGGGTTAGAGACCATCTGTCAGCATTTAAGTGGACTGCCCAGCCCTAACCCTCAACACAGAGGTAAGGGCATGTGTATCCATACTCATTTAGTAGCTGTTACTTCCTCAGATTCAAATATTTTCAATAGGTTTCCTGATTATACGCAGGATTAACACCGTTCAATGGTCCTGTCACAGATTCATTGTCCCCAGCAGATACTTGTGAAGGGCCTGGCTTTGACATATTTCTTTTTCAGTGGCACAATGAAGCTAGCTATTGCTAGTGTGGGTATGCTTTAGTTTCTCTGTCTTTTGCTTCTCTTTCTGTTAAAAGTCGCTTCAACTGAATATGAACAATAGCAACAGCTCTACCCACCTTCAGTGGAAAGGCAACTTTCAAACAATGAAATATACCTACAATAAAAATATATACTGTTGTATCAAAACCAAGTTAAGTTCACAAGTCTTCATTATACTTCATGTAAAAGGCCTTAGGAAAAAAGGGGGGTTTGGATTCAACAGTATATAAAAAGACATGCAACGGCAGAACACGAAATCTCAGAGATTATAAACCCATATATCATGGTCAAAAATGGTTGAAAAATGTACCTAATAGTCTTTATAAAGGTACTCCATGAGGATCATTATTGGTCTATTGACTATTATTGGTCATGTGGGGAAATAAAGTAGCATCAGAGTCCTGTCACTGTGCTAAGACAGTTCCAGACTGTACTAATACATTTTCTGGCTAGGACTTTTATTGTAAATAGTATAGGCATAATTTGGCTTTCATCAAAATCAAAATCGAATTCCTGGACCTGAGAGTATGTATGAAAGACATCCTTCTGGAGACTATGATATTTAATACCGTTTATCTTGTACGGTGCAGACAGATATTTGGACTACTGTAAGACAACAATTTTCTTTTTTCCAAAAATGCAGTGATAGCTGACAGACTCCTTCCTACAGAAGGGTTTTAAAATCTGTTAATAATCTTTACATAGGAAAGTTTTGCATGCCACCTGTTCTATATTTCTCAGAAGGAGAGCTGGAACCTATCTCAGCATGATTAGGAGAGGACACTGTTCTTCCTGTGTTCCTCTTCTCAGTCCTTGCATGTCTTCAGACCAGTGGATTTAATTTTTCCCTTTCCTCATGTCTTCGTACTGCTGAGAAGGAAACGTTTAGTCATGAGACCTTCTAGGCTCCAGGAACAGCGCTACATGCTTGGAAAGACATCTGCCTGGGACGAGATGCCCCCAGGCCCTGGGCAGAGCCTCTGCACTGCCTGTCATGATTACAGCCACTCTAGACGTCAGCCACGGCTGCCATGGCTCTGGGGAGAACCACAGAGGCTTCAACATCTTCCCTACAACCTAAATAAATAGACTGCAGTGCCAGACCATGTGGAGCTCCTGGCATCCTCAGCCCCACTGGCCTGGCTGGCTCAGGAGTGACCCGGCCATGCCAGCACTTCTTAACAGGCATCTGCTTCTTCTCCACTGAAAGATGAAGGACAAAGGCCAGCTTTAATCTTTGACACTTTGTCAGTTATATTATCTTGTAAAACTAAAAAAATCCCATATGTATTTTCTTCATGCGAGTTGTCGTAAGAGTTTTAACATTCATCATAAACCGACTAGATGTCTGAGAGATTTTTTTCCAATCTTTTTTCCTATTAATAGAGAGGGATCCTGGTACCATTGCAACATGTCATTCTTCTAACTCCAGTAGATAGACGGCTTTGCAGTTGTTGTTTTCAGCAACAATGTTCACAAGTTGCTGGTTGCATTTAACAGATGCTATCAAAACAAAACTCCTACCTTCCCATCTATATAGATTTTTGTTTACAGAAGGAATTGACCCATGGTAGCTTAGCTGGCCTCAGGACTTTATTAAATGTGCTATTTGAAATTGCATTTCAGTATGCCTTTTTTAGGAACTGTACATATATCTGTACCTGCGCATATATGAGAATATGTCATTGGATATTGTGGTGAAATATATGTTCCCAAGACATATTGACACAGACAGTGGAGACCAAATGGCAGTGCTAGTCACTGCTGTGTATGAAGCCCATAGGAGCATCTACTGCAGCTCAAACTAGGTGAGGCCTATTCAACAAGCATAGGGTGGAGGGATTCTTGTGTTTTGAATTTATTTTTTTTAATGTTCCAGACTGAGAAAACATTAAATGGATGTTTCATTTGTTTTCTCTCCCACTCGTAGAAGTTACTCTTTTGGGAATTGTCTTCTGCCTGATTTCACTTGCTACTGCTACTGTCTGCTTCTTAGGCATTCCTTGCTGATACTGAGACCAAGTTACACTGGTTGTTGAAGGAAGATGGCAAAGTTATTTTATTTTTATTTAACATTTCAGAGGAAAGACAGTGACATTTTGGAGATGTCAAAATATAATGCTGATGATCGCTCCCTAAGTAAAAAGAAAATACATGCTCCCCCCCATTGATTGTCTTGAAAAAGAGAAGACAACAGATTTAGATGGCACAGGACTAAAGAAGCTCAGTAGCTGAATGACAATTTATTGTGCTTTGATCAGTGTAAAGAGTATGGAGCACAGTTATTGACTTAATGCAGGAATATGGATATAAATACAAACCCACCAGTGTACGGACTAATCTTTCTGCACCTCAGAAACGAGGGGAAGGCCTATTCAAGTCCTAATATGATTTTGTGCCTCATATACAGTAAAAGTGATTAGAATTTGATCTGAAAGTAGTCATTACTGAATAAGCACTTATTTGTATTTCAATAACAATCCTAAATGTAGGACTTAAAAATGGTTGAAATTCTGAAAGCATACAAAGAAAGTAATAGAAAATAAATAACGAGTAGTAAGAAAGATAACAATAAATTGAAAACAAAACCAAAAAAACCAAAAGGAGTATTTCAAGCTGAAACTATGTGACTGCTTTCTTATTCTCTTATACTATGTGGTCACATCACATGGTATAAATAAGGTTAAATGATATATTATAATGATGCGAAAATGAGTAGGCATAAACAAGCCATAAACTGCTGTAACTTCTGTAGAACTACATCATTATGTTCTGGCTGCGGATTTAGTTAAATTTTCCCTAACTTTATCTACCAGATGAGCCATAAGTATTTTTAAATTAAACTACTTAAAATTTTTTAAAAAGCTATTTTAAAATCTATTGTTCCAATACTCTGCATTCTGCACCATTTGTAGTCTATAAAATTACATACTGTAGGTATTTAGGAGATAATAATCTGCAAAATGCAATAGTCAGTGTCCAGGAAGAAACTATTAAAGTATATCACTAGCGAAAACAAAGAACAATGGGTTGCTGGAAACTAGACTTCAGGGAAATACCTTAATGATAGAAGCAAAGATATTACCCACTGGTATGTAATAAACTCCTTAGTAGATGATAGCTTGGGGAGAAAAGGTCTCAGGATTCTAACATTGTGATAAAAATAATGTGAATGTACTCAAAATAAGAGAACTGTTTTCACTTTTAAAGACTAACTGGAAGGGAAATATCTCAAGGCTAAAACATAATAATAATGACGCTTCCCATCCAGCCATTTATAAATACAATAACTTAATTTCTCAGCCTGAAAAGAGTATGTAAAAAAGTCTATTGGATAAGAAATTTTAGTGAGGAAAAGGAAATAATCACCAGTTAGACCTGGGAGAGATTTTACAGCTTAAAACTCAGGGCAGAGTCTTCATACATTTTCTGTATCTTGAGGGTGGGTTATTAAGTTATAGTAGTCCAGGGGGAAAAAAAAAGAATATATACACATATATATACACACACCCCCTTTGTGTTTGTGCTGTGAAATGAGATAGGACTTCCTTAGGGAAGGCGCATGTGATTTAAACTTGGAAGGAAAAGAGAAAAGGAGAGAGAGAGCAGGGAGAAACAAAAAGCATGCGTGTGTGTGTGTGCACAGGCACAGATGTGTATGTTTATTGAAAGCTCTTGCAGCTCTCCAAAGCAAGTGGGTCAGCTATAATGAAGTGCAGTAAGCTTCTGTGTTTTGGCAAAGGAAAAGAAAAAATCCTACTGTCTTCCCATCTTGTTTTTCTTTCCACTATCACTTCATTAAGAAATGAAGGTTTGCTCTGATCAGAAACATGCTGTATGGTCAGGGGAGTCATCACTGTAAGAACAAAGGCATAACTATAGGTAAGTTCAGGCTGGCTGAAAATGACATAAAATGACAAGCCAGAGCAAAAAAATGGCTAAGAAAATCAGAGATAGGTTATACTGAGTAAACCCAGAGAAACAGAAACAAGCCTGACAAGAACAACTACCCACAAACCCGTTCCAGGGAACAAGGCAATCTGGGAACCCGCAACTAAGCATCTTGCAAAGAGTGCAAAGTATGAGTCAAATAGCTAAGGAAAAATAATTTTCTAATCACATTCAGAAACAGATGTTTAATTACCTTAGTAAACAGCCAAAGTTGGCACTGAAATAGTCTCAACAATAGTTATTTAGTAAACAGTATGTATTTTATTATAGTTTTATGACAGTTAATACTGATACGTCTAAGTATCTTACATGTATTACTTACTATATATTCTGTACAATTCCAAAGTACAGATTGCCGGTATTTCAGGTAATTAAAATAGTATTCTGGGTTTGTACACTGTGCACAATTTCCTATGTGTAACAGACAGAAGAATATTATAGTATATGTATAAATTTCTGCCCAATGCAAGAAATATATGCAGCTATAGAACAATCCATTTGCACAAAATGCTACTAACCACAAGCAAGCCAAACTAACAAAACTAAACTAATTTAGCTTTTACAGCTACACACATCAGTATGCCTGAAAGCCAAACCTGTTTGTTTTATTTTATCTTGGGGCACATAAAATCATGGTATTTGGCAGCACGGAATAAGGGATATTAAATCAGCTTTTATGCTGTTGTTAAGGAACCCGTAGAGGATGGGATTCAAGCAGCAGGACATCATACCCAGTAAATGGCATATGCAATATACTAATTTAAAATGCCTGTTAGAAATAAGAGTGGCATTAAAATCCGTCACAATATGGAAAAGGTGAAGAGGCATCCAACTGAACCCAAAAACTAGGATTAGCACCGTCAGTCTGCAAAAAACTCTCCTAGATCTTGTCTTAATTCTGATGATGGATTGCGATACTGTAATCATGTCCTGGATCTCTGCGTTTTCTTCCGGTTTCATCTCAAAACAGACAGGTATCCCAGGGATGAATTTACTGGAGGAAGAGAACTGGCTTTTTTCCGTGCCAGAGGTTTCTGGGAGGTTTCTGGAATGAGTATCCTGATGATGCCTTGAAATAGCTGGCATCACACTTGAAGTCTTTTTACTGTATCTTCTGTGGTGCTTTCTACCAAAGGCACAGCTCCATCTGGAATGGCTGGAGGGCTGCACCTGCGTGGCAGTACTCTTAGATGGATGAAGTGTTAGGTTTATCATCTCCTTTTCTTCAAACTTGTTTTCTTTGCTGGACAGTCTGGAACCTATGCTCCTGCAGACACTGGTGTGACTAGCGGTTAAACACACCAGCGGCAATATATACTGCATGAACAATAAGGCTATTGTAAAGGCAATTCTGTAGGAATCAGAAGGCCAAGACTCAATACATAAGAGCCTGTTCTCCAGTGCCTCTAAATTCAGTGTTTTGCTGAGGTCCACAATTTGGTGGAAAACTGGGAGTGGGGAGCAAATGGCAAAGCCAAGGGCCCAGATGGTCACTATTAAGAAATAGCCTTGTTTTGCTGTTAAATTGCTAGAAAGGGGATATTTTATCATACGGTACCTGACTGCAGCAATAGATATTAACATTAAAGTTGAAACTAGAACGGATGCGCACTGGAGGAAGGGCATTACGTGGCACATGATAGTGCCAAACATCCATTGGTCAAGCAGAACAGATGTCAATGTGAAAGGTGAACAAAACAGCACTACCAAGATGTCAGAAAAGGCCAAGTTGCCGATAAGGATGTTTATTATTGTCTTCTGCTTGCGCTTTAGGAGAGCCGTTAATATAAGCAGATTTCCCATAAAGCCAGCCAGACTTATAAGTGTGTACAGCCCAATAAGAAAGTACTGTATGTCGTCAACACTACTCTTGTAATCCTCCCAGGCAGAAAAATTCTTTGTAGCAGCAGAGGTGTTCTTGGTAGGTGTCCTGTTGTTACGGTCTTTGAATCCTAAATCCATTTTAGAGTCCTGCTTAGAACAAGAAAGGTATTAATTAGCATCTGAAGGAAGTATGTTCCTGGTACTAAGCAGAACATAATGGAATATAAATTTACCTTGTATCACCTTAATGCAAATAAACTAATATTGATGTTTTCTACTGTGAGGCGGGTCCTATGTAACTTCAGATCAACACAAATTAGTTTCATCGGTTTTATCATGTGGTGGTCAGCACACTTTGTCCTCCTACCCGGCTGCTCACATGGGACACAGACAATTTAAGGTTCTGCATTATGATGCTGGCTTTTAAGTATGCTTTGCTGTAGACCATATTGTCAGCCTTTCCACGAGGGAGCCGTTGGCTAGAAAAGCAATCCATTTGGTCGTTGAGATTACTCGTGTGAATAACAGCTCATTGATACGAGTAAGGAAATTACAATCACCATCTGGGCATATGCCTAATCATTACAGGAGAGCAAATTATAATGAGAGCACCTGAAAATATATGGTGCTTTGACATATGCCAGCAACTGCAGTAGTATTTCTTACCTTGTTAGTAGAAAACTAACGCAAAATAGGCAAGAACTTTCAAAAAGGATCAATGTCAGTGATCCAAGATGGAACTCCTAATGTGGTGCTATCAACTGATGAATGTATTTTAACTGTTGCTCAAGCAGAAGTGCAAGCTGCTTACAAAACATCCCAAATAACACAGAGAGGACAGTGTCAACTGGAAGCACGTCTCGTACAACCACTGGAAAATTCAGGGAACAGCTAATTATTCAGCACAGAAACATCTAAGATTAAAACTGAGCTCAGCACAAAGTCATGTATTAGTCTTCATTTTAGAAGAAACAGAAAGACAAATGAAATCAGTTTGAACTCCATTTTAACTTAAACACCTGCACGCACTGAAGTTTCAAAGTCAAAATTCCCTAGAGTGCCAATGTCCTGTACAAAGTTGCCTAATGTTTCAAAATCTTAAGCAAGACAAAACAAAAAGATCTAAACAAACCTCAAACATGCATACATTGAGCAGAAGGCTAAACCTATTAACTAAAAAAGGCAGGGTTCTTCAAAAACGTTGCTATCCTCAGTGAGCTGTATCATGCTGACTTCTTCAAAGTGCTATAGTGTTACTCGGCTTCCTCTACATGTACAGATGTGCTCCTTCTTTCTCATCACATCTGTATTCTTACTGTTGGGTGCCTCAAACCATAAAACACCCTCAGAATATTCACTGACAGTGTGTTTTGATGGGAAGGTGCTTCATGTAGGATTAGAATTATTTATTTTTTAAAGCAAGATACTGCAAGTTTGTGTGTCCTGCAAGTAATGTGTTGGGGAGAGGTGAAAAGAACTAAGCCTTGTCAACTTCTTTCAATGGGTCAAAGTGCTTTTTAATAGCTAAAATAGAAGAACAGGATACACAAATTTAGATAATCTAAATATTATAATTGTGTTGTGTAAAGCATAGCACCATTAATGTAAATTATTTCTGTTTAATTTTTCCCAGTCTCTAGTGAGATGGCGGAAAACCATGTGATATACAAACAACACTATCTGTGACTACCTTTGCCTCTAGATCAACTTTAAAGGCACAGACTAGAGATTCTGTAAGTGAACCAACCTCTCTATTCCTATACTGATATTTTCAGAAGTTTTCATTTTGGTGGGCTTATACAATTATTAGCTAAATAAGTAAATAGTTTTTACTCAATTTTGCAGAATTAATTTCTTTGATTTGCTAGCAATCATCTGGAAACAGTATGATCTGCAGATCATATTGACTTTCAAAACCAGCTGAAACTCCCTTCTATTCTCTAAATGTGACTAAACATAATTTTCATCTGAGAACACCACAGCAGGGCTCTACTCTGGATAAAATACATTCCCCTGCCTCAGGCTTATGGAACGATGTCCTTGTTATGTCATATTTGTAGCATTTTTTTCCCTTTATTCAGCATGGAGGAATGATGGGTTTTGCCATGACTGATGCTTTCACAGATTTCAGTCTGCAGACTCTCTTTTGATTCATGAAACTCATTTCAGCTGTACATTGCATTTCAATATGAAGTACTACCTGCCTAATTTTTAGGGTAAACGTTCTATTATCTTTGCACTACCACATTCACCTTAGCTGAGAAGCGTGTAGGAAAAACCCTTTCATATAACTGAGAAGTTAATGATTAAAAAGCCACCAGCATAGTTATGGACAATTTTCTTTTTGCTTGGACACCTTCCTTTTCCAGTTTACATCTTGCACAGACTGAGAGAGCATTACTAGTTGAGCATCCTGTTGCCTGATAGGAGGTTTGAAATCAATCAGGAGTTAGCTGAGAAAGGGAAGAGGAACTTATCTCAAGAGCTAGAGCTATCCAAATCTTGGTTACTAACCAATAAGTCATTGACTGAGAACAGGAAAACCAGTAAAAAAGAGGAAAGGAAATCCAGTACCATCTTGCAATTCAAAAAACCCCCCAAAAATCTTACAATGCTCTCAGAGTGGTGATGACTCTGAAGGCATGAGCTTTTAATTTATCATGAGTGCCTGCATAAGTAACTCTGGGCTAAGAGGGATCATTATGTGTAATTTTCTATTTTAAATGATACTAGGTTGATGGACTAATCTGTAAAGGAGAAACAAACTGCAGATGTTGTTTGTCTCTCAGAAACCTGGAGATCAGGATTGATCCACAGGTATTTTCAGTAATGGTTAAATTTCCATGCATAGTCATATCTGTCCAGAGGTCATACTGACCAGTGACAATGCACACTATGCTTAAGCTATAACAGCAGCTATGTACCTGTGAAAGTTTTGTTGATCCACGTACCAAAACTGCAGCTTCCTCCCTATACATTTTGGTGATATTGGCTGCCACTGAAACGGTTGATCATAGGCCACAGGTTCCTCAGTGTGTGGAAAAAAAGCAGGTATCCCTGCTGGTAGAAAAGGCTCTCTGTCTAGTTTGCCCACTCCATTTCAATTATGTGCTGTGGTCTGAAGAGAAATCTGTACATTTTCATTCAGTTTTGCTTAGTTTTAATGGAATTCCCTTAGGAGAACTGAAAATAATCTAGTGGTGTGACTGTTATTTCCTACGGCCACTTTGAGCTTGGACAACTACAAGTGAAAAGGAAGTGACTCAAGACAGATGCACCATAATTATTTTTTCCTCTAGAAATTTATATTCCATACAAGTGATGCTAAGACTAGGGCCAGAATGAAATTGTATGTGTCGTACTGGAACGTGTTTATTAAATAAATGTTTACCAAGTTCTCTGAAATCTAATTGAAAGTTTCTTGCCAGATTCTGCAGATTTCTATGCTTTCATGTAAAGCTCTTGCAGTATGGCTTTAGCAGAGTAACTCATTGTTTTTTTAATAAAATTCTTTAAAAACAAAAATGTTGGTTCTGCCGAAGCAGGCATGTTTTGTTGAGGCACATCAATACTGGAGAAGCTTAGCAGCAGTGCCTCTGAAGTCCAGCATGGGCTCTCCAGCTCCATCCTCGCTGTGCTACAGCTGTCTTCTGCTTTGGGAGAGTACTGAGAAGGTGCCAGCTCCCCTACTACATGTCCTGGTTTCCATGAGGAAGGAGCACTGGAAGAAGCCACAATGTGCTCTGATCAGACCCTGGCTGGACACTCAGAGCACCGCAAGAGTCTGTGGTGCCCTGCAGCCACTTCTGCATCACCTCCCTATAGTCACAGTTCTGGAGTGACAGAAAGACAGAGGGAGGGAGTAAAACTATAATCTGCTGGTTTCAACAGAGACAGAAGTTCTCTTTGCAAAACGCCCAAAGAGAATTTTATTTTCATTTTGGACATATGAAATGAAAGCAGACTTTTTCCTCAAAATTTCAAAAATTGAAAAGCGGATCCCTTACTTTCCGAGCTTCCTCTCCTGCTCAAAAGCAACCAGTTGCTCTCTCAGCTTGAGTGCAACTTGCAGTAAAGATGCAAGCAAAAGTGTTCCTCCTATATCACTAATCTGCAGTCCCCAAACTTATATTAGCGTGCCACAGACTTCTCAGGGCTGTGTGCACTTACTGGCATTTATCTTCTTGCTTTGTTTTAACAGCTGCTTCTATTTTGGGGCATTCGCTCGCTCTCCCTCTTGCTGGTTGGTCAATCCCAGTGCGGCATGTGGCTGTAGCTTTCAGGGAAATGAAGATTCCTGAAAATCCCACTGTGGGAAATAGAATTAAACAACATAGCCTCTTTTGAAAACGTTCTCCTCATATTTGAAGTGTATTTCCAAACTGAATGCACCACAGTGCCAGAGTGCTCTTGTGCCTGTTTTCAAGATCAAATTTAATCAATCTGGATGTAGTTGATGGAGACTTTCTACCTGTGCGCTCCAAAAGTTGGATCACTTTCATCTCCCACATCAATCAATCAAGCAAATGAGCTCCCCTTTCTGTATTCCTGGTTTGTGTATGATGCCTGAGACTGTGCTCAGCTACTCACAGCCTGTGAGATTCCACTGGGTTTACTTAGGTCTCCTTTAGCTTTAGCGGGATGCAAGGGACAGAAGGTGAGGCTGCACAAGGCAGGAGAGATTGCAGTTTCATGGCAGGATCCAAGGAGGATTGGAATATTTACTGTAAGAATCAATGAATGCAGTTAACATTAAATACAAGGAGTATTTGTGGCTGAATTTACAGCTAAATGTATTTTATGACAGCTAATACACCATGATCTTGAAAGATTTCAAGTAACACCTCCTTAAATCACATTAATTTTTGATATACCTCAGTGTGACTCAGATTACTGTGATTCTTATTTTCACCAAAATCATGCTTTCAGTTTTCAGTTTTCAGTTGATCTAAGCCCCGAGAGTGACAGGGACAACCCTTACTCAGGTTTAGCTGAGTCAGAGGTACCACATAACCTAAAAATAATTGATTTAATAAGTTTAAAATATTATAGTTGATTTCAGTATTTCACTTAAAGCTATCATTTAAAATTTTAAAAAAATCCTGTCATCATAATTTAGGGGAGTGAATAGGTTAGAT